ACACCCCTATATCGTGAAAATGAGGCAGAGCAACAATGTCACTCACTCACACTTCGTCTAATTTCACGAAACTAATCGTTAAAGATATAACCGCAGCCAAAAAATCAAAATTACACCAACATAGTATTGTTGTATGGCCATTAGTATTTCGTTTTGGCACAAAATAGAAACCAGAGATAGGACAGACCAATATATGTATATATGTTGTGTGTACATACAAAGTCAAGTTTTGGATACTGAAGAAGAACACAAAATAGTATTGAGAAGAAAAGAAAAAGGCTTGACATTGATATGATATAAAACGCTGGCTGACAAAAAAAAATCAAAAACAAAACTCCAGAAGAATAACAGCCGTGGACCAGATCAAAAACCCTGACCCTTGTGAACCAGACACCACCTAAACAAATATAAAAGTTGAAACTTCACTACTAACACCAATCAAGAAAAGAAACAAGAACATGGGACCTACAAATCTTTGATGGTAATAACACTTTCTTCTTCAACCAAACTTGAACCCACCAGGAGGAACACTTGGCTGGTTTGCACCAAATGCGAAGCCCTGTTGGTTCACGTCTCCATTCTGCTGCTGCGGGTTCTGCTCCTGCTCCTCGTCCTCTTCCGCCCAGTATCTCTCCAACATCTTCACCGCCTTCTCGTAGATCTCGTTGTTGTCGTGGGTCTGCAAGTTTTCGATCTTGTCGAGTCCGTCGCACTCGTCAATGGCTTGTGCATAGATGTTTATTCCTCCATTCATGCCCATGTCCTTGTCAGCCTCACCAACCTTGAGTATGTTGTCGAGCCCCTCCAGGCACACCGTCACGATCCTTGGGTCCGGGCAGGTTAAAAGGTCACAGAGTGGTTTGATGCAACCTTGGCTCACCAGAAATCTGCATCAAATAATGGTTGTGCTAAATCCACAGCTTTGTCCAGAAAAAACACTGCTAAAATAATTATCAATGTCATGCAAATCTGGAAAGCTGAGCATGTAACTATCTACTACACGAGACTAGGAGCAACTGAAATTTGATCATCTTACCATATATTTGAAAGACAACAGGGAAGAAAGAAATTTTAGACATCATAGGTCAATTAATTTTGTATTCAAAGTAGATAATAGATTAAGTATTCAGTGTGCACAACAACAATTACATTCGTGACCAGGGCGTGAAGACAGCTAATCTTCATTCTCCTCACTACGGAAGGTTTGAATTTCCAAGAATGTCAAAACTTTTGCACGGTAAGCTTTACATGGAAGGGTTAACGTGTATGAAGAGGAATTGGGGCTGTATTAATAAGCAAAATGCTTTTGAGGATTTGGATCATATTTCATGAGGCTAATAGTTCGCATATACAATTTGGGGGAGTTTATTTGGAGATGTCCAGCGTGTTTGGCTTGTAACAAAGAGTGTCGACTAGAGGATGGAAAAGGTGTTTCATCCACCATTTTGGTACAAGGGAGCAGCTCTTATGGCGTTTAGGTTTTTTACCTGTAATGTGAAGTATTTCACAGAAATTTTGGAGGTGACGCATTCGTGGGGGGGTCTAGTCTTTATCTAGGTTCAAGTTCAACAGCTTTCTCTAGGTATTTGTTTCAAAAGAGTTTTACCGTTATTCCTYGTCTCTTAGTCATACCAACTGAAACTATTTTTTGACATTATACAAAAGGTAGAGATTAGAATCTATGAACTTTAAAGAAGATTACACTATCTTAACAAGTTATCCTTTTTGTTACCATAGTATAAGTTTTTGTTTAGGCTCTTTTATTCTAGGCTTGTTAGTTTAGGTCCATTTGTATTCTTTCATCTATCTCAATGAAAGCTATGTTTTCTCGGGGCAAAAAGTGTTTTTACATGGCAATGTAAATCTAGTGGAACGATTTCTTACTGAATCTGCTGATGAGATCCTCCAGAGGTAGCGTTGGAAATGGCCCACCCAGCCTCCTTCTTGATGTCAAATTCTGCATGTTGGAGGAGATGAACAAGAGGGAGGACAATATTGGCCTCAATAACTGCCTGTACATACCAATTCAACATAATGATCACGTTGAACAGACGCCACTAACTCTCTATTATAGGTGTAATGCCACAACCAAGGAGAAAATAACTAGGTTTCAGTGACATTTCTTCCCAAGTTACCAACAAATACAAAACAGATGARAATCGTCAAKTTTGCAGGCCACAGAAAACTTGAAAGGGCAAACAAACAGAAACCTGCCTAACATCTATAAACTCAGCCCATTTTCTCTCAAATAGCATCTATAACAAAAGGCAGTTTGGTACCTGTATCTGAGCTCTATTTCCAGCAGTGATGTTTGAGATTGTCCAACAAGCTTCTTTCTTGATGCTTTTTTTGTGATTTTGGGTGAGAAGTTGATAGAGATTAGGTAGAACTTGGTTGTCAATCACAAACTGGAAAAGGAAAAACATAATACAGACAGGGAAATCATTGAAATTTACAAAAAAAAGTGGATTTAAGGCATGACCAGAATAGCAATACAAAGAGGGTAAATACCACTTGTCTGTTCCCTTTCAGTAAAATTAAACTAGGGGAAAGATCATCGAACAACAACAATTTAAACAGATACCTGGGTCTGGGCATCATCACCAGTAACAATGTTTCCAACTGTCCGAAGAGCTGGTACTAAAACCGAAGGTGATTGGTGTCTAACAGAAACAAAGCTTGGTCAGTAACACAAGTTTAAAAAAAAATCAAACGCTAGATTATGACTGTGRTCTATAAGCAAAGACATTTATTTCCTTATCTTAGTTTTATAGGCAGGAGGAAACACAACATTCAACAAAATGCTAGTGGCAACTAAGATGTGCTTAATTAAGAGCTTTTTGAGATGTATGAACTTACAGCAGAAGCTCCACAAGTCTTGGGCAAACTCCTGCTTCTATTACAGCCTGAATTTTGTCATTTGGGCCATCTGAAAGGTAGGAGAGAGCCCAGCAGGCATCTGTTAGAACTTCTTCATCGTTCAAGTGGATCAGTTGCTTTAGAACTGGTAGAGCAGGTTTCACCTGAGTAAATGGAAGTTAATCACCACAACATTCATGATAATAGGAAAGCAAATGTTACTAAGAAATTCAATGTTGCATCTTAAATCTGCAGGGTCAACCGAAATATAAACCTTATCGAAGGGCGTTGGGGGCTTCCCACGACAGAAATTAGATAACGTCCATGTTGCATTCCTCAGCATGGATAATTTAGAGTGCTCATTTAGTTGCGCAAGTAATGGCATTAGTGCACCATTGCCAAGAACAAGATCCCTACAACTTGGAGAGTCACCAGCAACATTACCTAAGGCCCACACAGCCTGTGAAAGAAATAATAAATCACAAAATTAAACAAATCAAGTAATAGTGTTCTCCAAAAGAAATTAACAAATGGAGAATTTCCATGACTACAAAACAGAAAAATATTGTAAAGAGTTCTTCAAGAGGACCATGGCAACTGCTCCTGTACCAGCCCACCCTCCCCATCCTTCAAAGTTCTATTTTTTGGTAGACTCCACCACAGAGCAACTGAAAATGGCCTCGTCAAAGAGTTAATCTACTCATAAGTTGGTAACCATGGCATTCACATAAATAACTCACAATTACCGACAACACCCTCATTTTCAGCAAATACAGCAAAGAAAAACTCAAAAACCTGATGGATATTCTTGAGACCTCTTCGAGAGAATTTTGGATTTGAAGATGAACCTCATAAGTCATAAATCTTCGGTAATGAGATGAATTGCAGCATTACAGAGGCCAAGCCAAAAGCAAAACTCTTTCAGGGCACTAAACGTAGTTGGCYGATGCATTATCTAGGTGTACCTTAGGAGCACCCAAACCCTCCCTCTTTGGGGATCCAGTGGAAAAGCCAGATGAAGAACAGGCTTAGCAAATGGAACAGCAGTCAACAGTCAACTATAAAGGTGGGTAGGTTAACATTAATTCAGTATGTGCTTTCAAGTATCCCAACTTATTATGTCTTTCTTCAAATCCCTATATTCCCTTTGCTAAGACTTTTTATGGCATGATGATTCAATTGCTAAAGGTAGCACCTCTTTTTTTTTTTTATGAGAAACCAAACCAGCTTTCAAGAAAATACAAGGAAAATAAAAGCTTCCCAAGATAAAAGAAGCCTGTACACAAATTGAACGATCAAGCTCCCCTCACCAAAGTGGCTTTGGAGTTGAACAAGGCAGAGATACACACTCTTTCTACATTTAACAGCCCAATGACCAAGTGCTTCTGAAGGAGAAAATTCAGAAGAAGGTTAAGGGTCTTTTTGTGGAAATTGAAAACAATGCTGGAGAAATTGGACTCTACTGACAGGTTGCAGAGAACTTTTATCCACGAGTATGTATGCGAACTGGTGGATATGTCAAAGAATCATGAGGCAGATCTCAATCATCTCTTCCTCCACAGTATTTTTTGTGACCCTTTGGCCTTTAGAGACCATTTTAATAGAAGTTAAATTCCACTGGATAGAGGGGCTTCTTTACTGGATCTCAATCAAATTGAGGTGCTTTTTTGTAACCTCCACTGGATAGAGGGGCTTTCACCTTGTTTGCATAAACTTGTATACGTTCATGATGCACAATGAAAATTCACTGCCATAACTTAGAAGAAGAAACATAAAAAGAAAGAACATATGCCAACCTGTTCCCTAACATCATCACTGCCTGAGCTTAAAAGCTGCACAAAAATAGGAACAGCACCATGGTCAATGACAACTCGTGTATGCTCTGATGTTCCAGACGCAACATTGGTCAACGCCCATGCAGCTTCAAACTGCATCCCATTGAAATATCAATTATATTGGTATCTCAAAATCATCCAAATTAAAACCAAAAGGTGCAGGAAGAAAAGAGAACAAAATGTTTCAAGGAATCCAACTTGCAACTGGGGTAGATCATGCCTTCCAAGAAACTCCACAAACTTGGGAACTACACCGGCTTTGATTACTTCATCAATTGGGGGGCTACGCTCTGCACATAAATTCAAATCGACTGAACCACAGTGTATATAAAAAGGAACAAATTTCAGTCAATTTCAACTACATCCTTACCAATAGATAATAGCTTTCTAAATTGAGTAGTTGCTTCCAGTTGTGCTGCTGTATCACCAGACCACACTCCTTGTACCAACACCGGAATACTCTCCAACTGGTATTACAACGAAACAACAAATTTAGCAATAAAACATAAACCAGATCAAAAAATTTGTGCTAATCTTCATTATCAGTTATGGACTGAAAGGCACAAAAAGATACACAAAAGGTAATATATTGTTTGCACATATCAGATGACATCTCTTGCAAATCACCATCAGGAAATAACATCCAAATGCTTGTTTGTCAGTTCTACAGGCAAACATACTGCCGGAATTAATTCCATGCAAAGTCAGAGATAACAAGAGGGGGCAAAGAAAACTTTCCATTCTAGGTTCTCTCCGTCTTCCTTGTTTCAGGCATCTCTTCTCTCCCCACAAGTGGCAAAAATGTGCAGAAAAACAGAAACCCACTTCAAGAATGACTCAGACTGGAGAAAGCGTTATTATTTCAATGTTAAAGATGGACATCATTTCCGAAAACACTTCACTCACAGATTTAATAAGACCCWCGAATCAGAATCCAAATTTCTCGAACAATCCCCCACTTCCGCAGAAGCCCAAATAGAAACAACCAAAGGGTAGCAAAGAGACCCCACAGAAATGACAAATTTCGAATCACAAAAACGATCAAAGCGAATTAAAAACCATACGCGCTTCTCGACGGCGGCKGCATTCTGGGCAGCATCAAGCAATTGCTGGGATTGCAAGAGAAGACCCTCCCTCCTCTTCTTGAGCAAGTTGTCCTCGCGCTTGTTCTTCCTGATCTCGACCAGATTGTCCTCTCTCCTCCGCCTGGCCTCATCGGCGTCGACGCCGGTCTTGTAAGACTTCTTGCGGACCTCGGTTCGCGTGGTGGGTCGCAGAGACATTGCAAGGAGGTGATGGGTTCTTCGATTGGCAGGCGCCGGTTGCTGCTGAACAAGTGTTTGAGGAGAAATGGGGGAGAAAAAAAAGGTGGGTATGGCTCAGAGAKAGCGTGTGGGGGCCGTTTTCGGAGGCCAGTTGTTGAAGGATTGAGCTGTTGGTCGGGGCTTTGGCTTTCGCTGTGGCTGTGGAATGCGATATGGGCACGCTCGCTGGCAACTGATGGTGGATTGGTTGAGACTTTAGAGGAAACAGCCCTTCAAATTTTCAAATCAAAATTGTTTGAATTTGGTTTTCTTTCTTCCCAACTTTCCCAATTTACTCTCTAATTCTGTTTTGGTTCATGCGTTTTCAAATTTTTTTGGTACAACACCCATTTGGTCCTTTGAGTTCACTCTAGTTTTTAACGCCTTGTTTCTAAGTTTCAAATTCTCGCATTTTCGCCCAAAGTTTCAACAACGCTCTCTTTTAGTATTTTCATTTACAAGAATAGTTGATAAGATGTTGGATCATTAGCCTGAAATTAAGATTAAGTTATAAGTTTAGTCATTGAAATTTTAGGTTTATTGTTAATAGGTCCCTAAACTTTTAACTTCGTGTCTAATATATCAAACTTATTTAATGTTTTTAAAAATTGACTTGGAGCAAAAATTGAATATTGTGCCTAATCGAATCCTAACTTTTCAATTTGTGCCTAATTGATCCATGGATTTTTTTAAATGTCTAATAGGTCGAGAATGTATGAGACACAAAATTGAAAGTTTGACGATCTATTATACATTTTTAAACCTCGTGAACCTATTAAACACATAAATACAAATTTATGAACCAACTGAACATTTTTTAAAATTACGAAGTTTATCAGACTTATGAAAGTTCATAYAGTGTCAGAGCGTTTTTAACCTAAAATCAATCTATAGTGTTTTTATGGTTAAAATTTCAAATTTAGTCCCACCATTTCTTTAGCTTTATTGGTTTAATCTCTTAGTTTTAATTTTTTTTTTACTACGTCTTTAAATTTTCAATTTTGATTCTTATAGTTCTGTATCTTTAATAATGACTTTATTATATAACATGACATGAGACAGTAGACTAATCATATAAAATAAGGGTGGAGGAGCTGAAAAATAGATTGGTTGGCACAACCATCTACTTTATCGTCCAAATAAATAAAACAACTATAATACTATATTTCTATTCAATTATTTATTTCAAAAAATTAATGACAAATTATTAAACATTGTTTTTAATGCTTTGTTAACATGAGGGTTAAGATATCTATTTTTTCCTCCCATATTTTTATCAGAAAAATAAAAATAAAAATACACTCCCACATTGGTTATGTCCTGTAAATAATAATAATAATAATAAATAAATACTATAAAAACGTTTTTAGTTGTAATATTATCAAATTGTTATAAGATGAGAACAAAATAAGTATTAATTTCTTTTTTCAGTGTTTGGGGTGAGGTGATTGAACTTCTTGATTTAAATATATGTCAATTACCGCTAAGTCATGTTCGCTTTTAACTATTTCTAAGTATTTTTTTAATATGCATAGTTATAGAAATTCCGTTTATGTATACAAGCAATTTAAAAGTATCTTAATTGGCATAAATAACGTATCAATTAAGTAACGTTCATGTATACTATTTTTTTTCGAGTTCATAGGAATTCCGTTTATGTATATAAGCAATTTAAAAGTATCTTAATTGGCATAAATAACGTATCAATTAAGTAAGGTTCATGTACACTTTTTTTTTCGAGTTCAACAATACTTGTGATGGAGATTTGAACATTCAACATATATTCATTAATTAGTTGAGTTATTTAATTACTCATATATATCTTTTCGACTACGACATGATAGGGACCTTTTGGTCAGAGACACACCAAAAGCCTCGTATGCGGAGTAGCCCATGCATGCCATTAAAACTATGCGGGAAAAAAAAGAAGAGGAAGAAAAACTCACAATTTTCAATAAAAATAAACTATAATGTAATTTTTTATTTAAAATTATCAAATATGATTTAAAATTTATTTATTATTATTATTATTATCATTTTTTAAGAAATATGATTTATAATTTATCCAATGCACATGATATACTTGTTTTTAATGAGTCTTAAGACGAAAGCCTACTATAAAGTAAAAATTGTAACACTGGTTCAAATTTAAGATAGAGAGTACAACATTTATAAAATTTAAGGTATGATTGGATGAAATTGAAAGTTTAAAGTAAAAAATGATACATCTTACTAATTAACTTAGGCATGGTTTAAGTGCCAACATGAATGAGTTCGTAAATTAGTTCATTGGTAAAAATATTTAACTTTTTCGATTAAAGTTAAAGTTTCAGATACTCACACCAACTATTTTTTTAACAAAAATAATATATAATTTAAGTGATGAAGACAATATAACATTTGGAAGGTTAGATGTTCAAAATATCACCCTCTACTCCCACCCTTTAAACTCATATAAATGGTTCAATTTAAAAAAAAAGTGTTGTATTTACATAATTATGAATAGGTTTAAATATTATTTTAGTTTTTGTACTTTTGACCGATTCATTTTARTCCCTCTACTTTTAAAACGTCCATTTTAGTATATGTAGATTCAAATTTTGTTCGTGGTCTTAGTGCTTCCAAAACATTTGTTTTTACCCTTATATTTTTAAAAAGTAGATCATTTTAATTCGTTTATCTTTATTTTTATCTCGTTTATTTCGATCATAATTTTAATATGACACTTCACTTATTGAATTTTTTGAAATTTACTGTAAATTTGTACTAAAAGATTTTCACGTATACGAAGTTTATATTAAAATTTTATAAATACGGATCAAATTGGTCAGTTTTTAAAGTAAATCAAAGTAAAAAAGAACCAAAATATTCAAAAAAAAATTTATGGTACTCTTTAAAAATGATTCTAAATTTGCAATTTCACACCATTATACAATACAAATACAATAACGAATAAGCATATTCTAGCATTTAGAACACTTTCCGTTTTAAAAAGTTTTCCCTCCAATTTAATTTCCAGCTGTCACCCTCCCTCCTGTCCATACTTTTCGAACATTCATCTCAACCGTACATCACGCCGTACCCTCTGAATCATCATCATACTAGTGGCTATCTAACGGATGTGATTTCTCGTCCAGATTGGATTTTACGGTGAATCTCCACACCAGATTCTAGCCCATGTGGGCCCTATTGGACTACAATAGCCAATCAGAGCCGTCAACACTTCCAAACTATCGGGTCACACGCCCCCCGTTCAGCGCGTGTGGAACAGACGCGACAAAATGAATCGACGAGTGAGATAGAGAGCACAGGTTTTATTCTGTACTCGGTTACACTGGATAATTCCCACTTTATATATAGTCACGGGACTCTACAGCTTTGCTCTGGATAGAGTTTCAAGGAGGCGGAAGGGAGCAGCGGCGATGGCGGGAAGGTCGTCGAGATCGGCATACCGGTGGCCGGGATCCGAATTTTCACTCAGATCTTCGATATTCCGATTGGCGGAGGCTCTTTCGTCGTTCTGTAGTTCCGGCTGGTTCCGCCGCTGGCCTCGCGGCCTGCTCAACTTTCCGATCGTCGACGAACTCGTCTGGTCCATCATGACCGCGCTCGAGTCCGTCGCTTTAGTCTCCATGATCGGCTTTTTCTTCGTCTTCTACGGATGCAGCTTGTGATCGGCCGGCCGGCCGGCGATTGATTCCATTTCGCACTCCTCACTTTGCTCGGCGAAGACAAAGACTGCATTAGAAAGCATATTCCAGTAAGAATCGAATTATTCTCGCACTCTGAGATTCTTCAATTTGTGCATTTTGATTGATTTTGCTTAATTGTCTTCCTCCTTTCTGCATTCTCTTAACATCGAAGATTTTGTGTAAATCTATCGGTGGGACCGTAGTTAGTACGAGCCCTAAGTTTCTTAATCTCCTTCAAATCGGCAGTTGTTTCATTAGGCAATTTGTAGAATGTTCTTGTTTGTTGTATATAGGAGTTGTTTGAATTTTGAAAATTCAAAATGCTTCTGGTTTCTGGATCTATATATTATACAATAATTATATAATTAATTGCCATTCTTGTAATAGTTGTACAGAGACGTATTTAATTAATGAAAATGTGAAAATTATGGTACATTATTATATATATATATATAAAAATTAAGAGATTATTTTATATAATTCAACTGCAGGGAAAAATGGCCGAAAATAAAACACAGCTATCAGCGCTTGAAACGCGTATGATTGAATTGATGCATGTTAAGAAAACTTAGTGAGGAAGAATNAGGGAGAGAGTGAGAAAAAAGAAAATGGGTATGATTGATATGGAAGAAGAAAATAGAGAAAGAGGGGCATCATTATGAACTTTGGTTATGTGGAAAGGAAAGAAAAGAAAAGGAAAAACTTAGTGAGGAAGGATTTTTTTCTTAAGAATTATCCTATTTTGATACTTTAAAATTTGAAATGTCTATAGTATTGAATTTTCAAATTTATTTTATTTTGTTATCTTATCTCAACCGTCAATTATTTAACAAATAGATATTGTAGTTCTAAACTTTTGTGTTAAATAATGACGTAGGTTTGTCTTAGAGTGACATTAATTGATTAATTCGAACGGAATAACTATAGAAATGATTAGTTTTTGAATTTGAAATTAAAATAGACTGTGGTAAGAAGTTTAGGGATAAAAGAAAAAGAAAATCTTAAATTTAAGGATGATTTTACCCTTTTTTGTTATCTTTTTTTATGAGGAATTCAAATGTGGTATTTTGTCTATTTCTTATGTAGTTAAATGGAGGACGATTGCAAATTTAGAGAAAAAAAAAAAGGTAGGAATTTGCAAAAAGCAGTAACTAGTTTTTAATTTTATAAAAATAGCAAATTTTGGAACCTCGACACTTCAATGTATTTATTCATAATGAGCACTAAATCTAAGTAGTGATATACCATTAATATATCTGACTTGATATGTCGTTAACTTATCTAAAATGTTAATAGGGTAAAATCATAAATAAACGAAAATATTTGAAGATTATATTTATTTGCAAAACTTAAAAGTTGTTGCTAAATTTTTAAATATGGTAAATATTTTAGCAATCAATTACAAATTCTCTTTAAATTACACACCAATACTTAAGCAAATAGAATTGGTTAAAAAAAAAGTTTGTTCGTGACCTTTCGTTGATTTCATATTTAGTTTTGAACTTTAAATTGTAATGAATT